ACCAGTACAACAGGTGATGCCCAGGGACTTTCAGATGGTTGAATTAAATCATTTTTCAACATTTTATTGATTTCTTCCTTAATAAAGTTTTATTTGGATGGAGCTACATGATAAGCTCTTTGTCTAACAGAAATTGATACTTCAATTGGTATATGATGGTTTTCAATCTTCGTATGCCCAAATTGGGAGAGATCATCAGCAAATAAATTATCATTTTGTTTTAACAGTGCTATTATTTGCTGTTGTTGTGGAATGGTCAAATTGGTCACAGTTGGTGTTGTTGTTTTCTCATCCGGTACGTTAGAAAGTAGTTGTAAATGTTCATACTCTTTCTTGCATAATTCACAAATGTCATTCGGTCGGTTTAGCTTATTATGACACCAACATCTATTGCCTGGTCCTTGCCAATGATATTTCCATTTTTCAGATGGAGAAGGCTTTATGTTAAATTTTCACTTTAAATTTTCGTAGTACTGAGGTGAATATTTTTGTCCTTCAACTATTGTTTGATCATCTCCTTGTTCAGTGAGAATTGGTTGGGTATCTTGGTCTCCTAATATGACATAATTTCATCAAGGTGTTAATTCTTCTTCTTCATACTCATCATCAATAGGGGTATGAACTGGGGTCAGTTGCTGATATTGATCGAAAGATGGTTTTTCCCAGCAAGTCATAGGTACTTGATGAATAATTTCTTGCCATTTAAAAATAAATTTCGCTTTGTCCCAATGTAATTGCGCTTGGCATTTAGAAAGCCAGTCATTTCTAGCAACAATATAATAGTCTTTTGATTCAGTTATATTAACATCCATGGGAATTTCTATACCATATATTTGTATTGGTATGTTAGAAACACGTCCTAATGGTCAAGAATGTCCTTCTTGAATGTTAATCATTGTAATAGTTGATGCATATTCAATTTTTCGTCCTAATTGTTGTAAAAATGATTTGGACATAACACTTCCAGTTGATCCTGAATCCAATATTAAATAAATAGGCTTTCTGTCTACAGCAGCATAACAATAAATGGCCTCTACAGCTTCTGAAGTTATCGAGGGGTTTGAATAATAACTAGTGTGCTCACCCTCATGAGACACTGTTAATAGTTTAAATGTGGTCGTGAAGGTATTACTGGTGGTTGATTACTAACAGGTGTAGGTGGTGGTAGTGGGAAATGCGTAGGAGTCTCCATATTGAAAGGAGTCATTGGGGTAAATTGTGAAAGGGCTGTTCGCTGTTCAACAATGGGTGTTTTTGTTGGACAGAGTCTTGACCAATGCCCAACTTGATTACAGTGCATACATGGTCCTCTTGGTTACGTTCTACAATTTCGTGCGATATGCTCAGGTTGCTTGCAATTATAACACCCAGTGTTGGTATTATTCTGATTACTTGGATTGGTTCGTGGTTGCGTACAATCCCTTGCGAAGTGTCCACTACGTCCACAGTTATAGCAAGACCTTATGTTTGGCCTATTGTTATTATTACTATTTTGCCAATTATTAGTCGCATTATTAT